TACGCGACCCGTTTTCCCATGCATGTGAACATATTTATGCTGCTTTCGCCAGAGGGATGACGGACTGGAAAAAATCAGCTCCAAAAACTGCACACTCTGGTCGCCCATCGGGCGAGATGGCTCAGTGGGTAAAGTTCGAATTTACTGACCGAAAGTTCCGTGGTTCGAACCCGACATCTGCTTCTCGACTTCCCCTGTCTAGGCTTTGGCAACCTAGCGGTAATCCAGCCCTTGTGCTTCCCTCTGGTGGCATTGCAGTTAGGCGCCAAAAGGGTGCTATGGCTGAACGATTTTAATGACTGTGACCTACGGCGAATTATCTAGTGTGGTCGAGAAACATGGGCTTCACGGGGCCCCTTACGCATCTACGAGACGCAGCAGTAGCAGGAGTGAGACTTACTCCCTGCCCCTTCGGCTAATCAGTCCTCCGAATCCAAGCGCGTAAGACTGTGGAAACATTAGTCCCCCTCAAGGTCCGCCCAGGAAACCACGATACTCACTGCCGTGTGGGTCGGAATCAAGGCGGGCCACCTCAAACAAACCACCTTCCTCGGTCCAGGCAACTTGAAAGTATCGTTCTGCCTTGCAACTTTTCATTCACCGGCCTACATCCTCTCCCCACTGATCAAATGTTACTCTGTGTTCAATGCATTGACCAGACAGTAGGGGTTCAAGAGGCGAATAGCTTCGATGTAATGTATACCAGAAAAAAGATGAATAAATTGGTGATTCCAACATCAAGTTGAGCCAACCAAGCACACCACCGTCCAGGTGAGCAGCAGTGACAAGCCACAGCAGAAATTTTCAGACGATCAGAGTAGAGGTATCCGTTAGGAAACAGTCATCCCAGCAACGTATCGGAGCGTAAAGCGGTTGTCTACGTAGTCTGTCTGAGGACTGCGCCCAGCTTTCACGAATTTGTTCATCCCTGTGTTATCTAGAGTAAGATTAACGATTATCTGGCTACCAGACTGATGTCAGCATTCGTGCATATTTTCCCAAGAATGGAACTGCTCGATTCGGAAGCTCGTTCACCTTGAGGTGACTTGAAAGAACTTCCGTCAGTTGGGCTACCAAGTTTACTGCACCTTAAAGAAAACTGGGACACTGTCGACCTAGCACCTTTTCGCGTCTTACGGGGGCAAATTGTTTTTACTGGGTAGTCATGAATAATAATAAGGACCGTTTGGTTGTAACACCATTTT